TGTTCAAGTTTTCTATCTCTTCCCGGTCCAATTTTGGGAGACTGTGTGTTTCTAGAAATTTGTCCATTTTGCTTAGATTGTCAAATTTGTTGCCATATAGTTGTTCATGGTAGCTGTTAACGATCTTTTGTATTTCTGTGGTGCCGGTTGTTACTTCTCTTTCATTTCTGTTTTTGTGTATTTGGGTTCTCTCTCTTTGTTTTTTGGTGAGTCTAGCTAAGGGTCCATCAATCTGGTTTATCTTTTCAAAAAAATAGCTCTTTGTTTCATTGATCCTTTGAATTGTTTTTTTGGTCTCTATGTCACTTATTTCTCCTCTGATCCTTACTAGTTCCTTCCTTCTACTTGCTCTGGGGTTTTCTTTTTGTTTGCTTTCTAATTCTTTAAGTTGTGACGTTAGACAGTCAATTAGAAATGTTTCTTGTTTCTTGAGGTAGGCCTGTAGTGCTATGAACTTCCCTCTCAAACCTACTTTTGCTGCATCCCATAGATTTTGTGTTGTTGTGTGTTCATTTTCATTAGTTTCCAGGAAGTTTTTAATTTCTTCCTTGATTTCCTTGGTAACCCATTCATTGTTTAATAACATGCTATTTAGCTTCCATGTGTTCAAATGTCTTTGCATGTTCTTGTTGCAATTGATTTCTAGTTTCATGCCATTGTGATCTGAGAAGATGCTTGGTATGATTTCAATCTTCTTGAACTTGTAGAGATTTAGTTTGTGCCCTAACATGTGGTCTATCTTTGAGAATGTCCCATGTGCACTTGAAAAGAATGTGAATTCTGTAGTTTTGGGGTGTAATTCTCTATAGATATCTATTCAATCCATTTGGTCTAGTGCTTCACTTAGAGTCTCTGTTTCCTTGTTAATTGTTTTGTCTAGGGGATCTATCCAGTGGTGTCAACGGGGTGTTGAAGTCCCCTGCTATAATTGTATTGCTGTCGATTTCTCCTTTGATGTCCTCCAGCAGATTTTAAATATATTTTGGTGCTCCTATATTGGGTGCATATATGTTTATTAAGGTTATATCTTCCTGTTGGATAAATCTTTTCAATATTATGGACTTCTTTGTCTCTAGTTATGGTCTTCATTTTGAAATCTATTTTATCAGATATGAGTATTGCTACCCCAGCTCTTTTTTGCTTGGAAAATTTTTTCCCAACCCTTCACTTTCAACCTATGTGAGTCTTTTGTTGTGAGGTGGGTCTCTCGTAAACAACATATAGATGAGTCATGCTTTCTTATCCAATCAGCTACTCTGTGTCTTTTTATTGGAGCATTCAGTCCATTTACACTTAAGGTGATTATTGATATGTACTTATTTATTGCCATTTTTTATTAATTTGGTTATATTTCTCTTTCTATTTTTTCTACTAATTATAGCAGTCCTTTGAACATTTCTTGCAGTGCTGGTTTGGTGCTAATGTATTCCCTTTGCCTTTTATGTCTGGGAAGCTCTTTATTTGACCTTCTATTTTGAATGATAGCCTTGCTGGATAAAGTAGTCTTGGATTCATATCCTTGTTTTTCATGACCTTAATTACTTCATGCCATTCCCTTCTGGCCTGTAGTGTTTCTTGTGAGAAGTCAGCTGATAGCCTGATGGGGGTTCCTTTGTAGATAACCTGTTGCTTATCTTTTGCTGCTTTTAGGATTCTCTCTTTGTCTTTAATTTTTGGCATTTTAATTACTATGTGTCTTGGTGTGGGCCTATTTGGGTTCTTCTTACTTGGGGCTCTCTGTGCTTGAACTTGAATGCCCTCTTACTTCACAAATTAGGGGAGTTTTCTGTCACTATTTTTTTGAATATATTCTCTAACCCTTGCTCATTTTCTTCTTCTTTGGGGATTTCTATGATGCAAATATTATTACATTTCCAGTTGTCCCATAGTTATCTTAAGCTGTCTTCCTGTTTTTTAATTGTTTTTTTCCTTTTGGTTTTTTGATTGGTTGATTTTTTTCTACCCTGTCTTCTAACTCACTGATTTGGTCCTTAGCTTTCTCCCCTCTGCTTTTTAGACCTTCCAATGTGTTCTTTATTTCTGATATGTCATTTTTGATCTCTTCTTGGTGGTTTTTAATTTCCAATTGGTTTATTTTCAGTAACTCTATGTCCTTACTCATGCTGTTGAGCTTCCTCAAGATCATGGCTCTGAATTCTAGCTCTGTTAACTTGCCTAAATGCTCCACATTGACCTCATCTTCAGTGGAAGTCTCTTGTTCTTTCATTTGTCTTTTGTTTCTGTGTTTCACCATTTTGGCTATCATAGTGGGCTTTGGAGCCTGTCAAGTTCTCCCTGTGGGTGTTGGTGTTCTGCTGTTTGTGGCTCCCTCTCCTGTATTTAGATGAGCGAGGGAGGACCCACGTTGAACACCACTGTCAAGTCTTACTTTCCTGGTTAGAGTTGCTAGCGCAGGAATGGAACTGTTATCCTCTAGCTTTTTGCCTGGAGGCTAGCAGTCAAGGTTACGTGAAGAGTTTTGGGTTGTCAGTTGATTGAAAAACTCCCTCAGGTGCTCAGCATTAGGGGATTTCCCCGAGGGTGGGGCAGATGCTGGTTGTTAGTGAGCCTCAATTAGCACTTCAATGGCCCACAGGGTGGGGTTGGATCTCCAAAGGAGGGGCTGCTGCCTCTCCTCAGAGCCCTGGGAAGGAGCAAGATGGTCACCGTCCTGCGAGGCTGCACTCAGCCAAAGCTCTGAGCGCCCTCTAAACCCCGAGTGTCCCCACACAGCTCCAGTCCAGTCCGCCCTCCCTCTGCCGGAGCCCAAGGCAATGGCTTTGGCTAATTTAGCCTCTGTCCCGGCTGCGCTGTGGAGCAGCTTGAAAGCTTAACTCGAGGGCGCTGCTCACAGCTAAGACCGCTGCTGTCTGTGGGCTCCCAGCCCCCATCTCACGCCTTTGCAATCCTACCAGGATCGAGTCAGTGTCCCTGGTTATATGGTCCTCGCAAGCTGCTTTTTTGTTGCTTTTTCCCATCGATTTGTCTGTGTTATGGTTGTAATTCCAGTCTGGTTCTGGGAGACGGTCTGTGTAGCTCCGTTCCCTCCACCGCCATTTTGGAATCTCTAGGAAACAGCTTCTTGACATTGGTCTGGGCAATGATATTTTGGGCATGACTACAAAAGTACAGGCAATAAAAGCAAAAATATACAGATGGGATTGCACCAAACTAAAAATCTTCTGTACAGCAAAGGAAACAAGCAACACAGTGACGAGACAACCTGTGGAATGGAAGAAAATATCCAAAATAAATAAGAAACTTAAACAACCCAGGAGCAAGAAATCAAATAACCTGGTTGAAAAATGGGCAAAGGATCTAAATAGACATTTCTCCAAAGACATGCAAATGACCAACAGGTATATGAAAAGATACTCAACATCAGTAATCATTAGGGAAATGCACATCAAAACCATCATGGGATATCACCTCACACCAGTTAGAATGACTGTCCTGAAAAAGACAAAAGATTAGTGTTGGTGAGGATGTGGAGAAATGGGAATCCCTTTACAATGTTGGTGGGAATGTAAATTGTTGCAGCCCTGTGGAAAATGGTGTGGAGGTTCCTCAGAGAATTACAAATAGAACTACCATATGATCCAGCAACCCCAATTCTGAGTACATTTCCAGAGAAATGAAATCAGTATCTTGAACAGATATCTGTACTCCCAAGTTCATTGAGGCATTATTCACAATAGTCAAGATATGGCATCAGTCTGTGTCCATTGACAGATGAATGGATAAAGAAAATGTGACCCACATATACACACACATACAATGGACTATTATTCACCCATAAAAAAGAAGGAAATCCTGTCATTTGCAGTGTCATGGATGAACCTGAAAGGCATCATGCTAAATGAAATAAGCCAAGCACAAAGACATATACAACATGATCTCACTTATATGTAGAATCTAAAAAAGTCAAACTTATGCAGACAGCAGGGTAACAGTTACCAGGAGCAGGGAGGTGGGGAGATGGGGAGATGTTGATCAAAGGGCACACAGTGGCAGTTATAAGGTGAGTGAGTCTGGAGATCTAATGTATAGCATGATTACTATAGTTAGTCATACTGTATCAGATACTGGGAATTTGCTACAAGACTATATTTCACTGCTTTCATCACACACACAAAATGATAACTATGTGTTATGTTAATTAGCTCAACTGTAGTAATCACTTGACTGTGCAAATGTATCAAATCATGTGGTACACCTTAAATATGTACAACTTTTGCTTAAAAACACAGAATACGGTCCCCTTGTCATGTTCCCACTTTCCCCCCTCGCTTCATTTTCATTTCTTTCCCTTCTCTCCTTTATTTCTCTATCATTATGCACCCATAGTAGCGATATGGAACCAGGATACAATTTTTAAAGAAAATTCTTCCACTGTTCTTTTTTAAATAAATTTTTGTTTTTACTTATTTTTTTTTAGAGAGAGAGAGAGAGAGAGAGAGACAGATGGAAACGTTGATGAGAGAAAAACATCAACATCAATCAGCTGCCTCCTGCACGCCCCCTACTGGGGATTGAGCCTTCAACCTGGGCATGTGCCCTGACTGGGAATTGAACTGGCGACCTCTTAGTGCATAGGTTGACCCTTAACCAACTGAGCCACACCGGCCAGGCTCTTCCACTGTTCTTAACATTTGTTTTTTGGCTTGTGAAGGAAGAATTTAATGAGTTCTAAAAAGAGTTATTTACTACCTTGATACATTTTTCTCCCTAGACTGCATTGGTGACTCATAAAAGGAATTAAAAAAAGAATTTGTCTTTCCCCTATAATATCAATAAACTTTGTGGTGTACACATTTCTTTGCTTCTCTGATGGGTTAAAGGCAATTTCAGAGATGAGGGTATTTTCAGACTGGTAAGTCTTTTTTTCATCTGTTCAGAATTATAATCCTTTGTACACCCTGCCACTGACTTTTAGTGTCTACATAGAATGATTTGGTTGACCAAGTTCTATTTCTTTTTCTGTCCCTCCTTCATTGTAGATACATTTCATATTGCTCTTCAGTCGACAAGGGAAATTACGGCTGCAGAAATGGTACAGGACTCTCCCGGACAAGGAAAGGAAAAAGATCACCCGGGAGGTTGTTCAGATGGTTCTCTCTCGTGGTCAGAGGACCAGCAGTTTTATCGACTGGAAGGAGCTAAAACTTGTTTATAAAAGGTGTGAGTAACTTGATGAGAACTGCATTTATTTCTTGTTACTGCTTTGGTTTGTTTAATCCTGAACATTTTAGATTGCAACACCAAGCTCATCATTTACTGAAATCTTTGAAGACTGGAGCCCAAATATCTGTACCAGTCGACTAACTAGGAGAGAGCGCTCATTTGTTGAAAGGCCTTTGATGTGCCAGGATGGATTCTCGGTACTTGGTCTCCACGTTGATAATGCACACTCGCGTCCAAGAAACTCTCGGGAGCATCTGTTCTGCCCTGTTCCCAGCACTGTTGTGGTGGCTGTGGATACAGTAGTGAGCAGGGCACAGAACATTCCTGCTCTCGCGGTGCTTACTCATTTGTTGAGTAAAAAAAATATTTCCAGTTAGTAATAAATATAATGGGGAAAATGCAGATTAGTGTCCCGCAGAGAGGGGAAGATCTTTTTATTGTTATTATTGCTCATATTTGCAGATGAAGAAACTGAAGCCACAGCGAGTTTAAGTGATTCGTCCCCAGACACAGTAATGGAGTGGTAATTTGGCAGAGCAGAAATGCAGATTCAGGTCTATCTTGCTTTAAAACCTATACATTCTCTTTACTGTACCTGCTTGCATGGGAAGACCATACTGGAAAGAAAACTCAGTTTATAGATGAGGAAACTGAGAACCCCAAGAGATAAAGTAATTTTGCCATAAAGACCCAGATGACTGATACCTAAGCCAGGATCAGGACACAGCCAACCCGCCCCTGTGTGCAGCTTCCCATTACAGCTTCTAGAAGGAAACACGCATTCGAAAGACTCCTGCAGGGAATGTTTCCAGGCCCTAAAGGGGAAAGACAGCATAGCCTCCGCAGACTATATTTAATGGATTAAATTACCGGAAAGTGGGCAAAGCTCCTTTGGCTGGATCCAAGGTAAAACATTTTAGCGCTTGCCCACCAGAAGCTTGTCTGTATTCTCTGCTTGCTGGTTTCCTAAAACTCTGGGTTCAGTTGTGTTTAAGTCGTTATATAAAGAACAGGCTTCCGTGGTTCTCTCAGTAGATACGACAGGCACGGGGTATGCGACAGTGGACAGGCAGCCTCCGCACCTGCCTGAAGGAAGCTGCTGGTCTGGCGGGGGAGAGACAGGTGACATGGACCTTGAAGAGACTAGGTGTGCTGCACGGGGAGGGACAGGGGTGCATGGCGGGGCATCCACCCAGTCAGAGAGGACAGACGTTCCCTGGAGGAAATGGCTCCAAGCTCAGAGCTATAGGACAAGTAAGTCAGCCACACGAAAGAGGTAGGGAAGAGTGTTTTAGGTAGGAGAAACACACAAGAAACACGCAGGACTGGACAGTCCTAGGGTGGAGAGGTACAGAATGGCTGAGGGAGGGAGGGGGTGGGCAGCGTGCCTCTGGGACCCTCAGCCAGCTGTTTGGGATTTACAAGGGACCATTCACCAGCCAGGGAGGGGCATGAACAGACACCCTGATTACTGTGGACCAAAGGACTCTGTCCCCCTGATAATAGCTCCTCAAGGTCAAATTTGGTTGCCTTTCACATAATTAACAGTAATGCTCCCATTGCCCTAGTCTCTTTCTGTATTTTACTTTACATTTGGGGAAGATATGGAATGTGATGAATAATCTGGACATGGAAGGGCAGGAGGTAACTGTGTCTTCACTGGGGCAAAACCATCTTCAGGTTATTTAATGGGTCATCATATTTTACTTTATTTTTTTTTCTTTTTCAAGGTATGCTAGTTTATACTTTTGCTGTGCAGTAGAGAGTCAGGACAATGAGCTCTTGACACTAGAGATTGTGCATCGCTATGTGGAGTTGCTGGACAAATACTTTGGAAATGTAAGTGTGTTGTTTTGCTTTTTTCTTTATTGATTTTAGAGAGAGAGAAAGGGAGAGGGAGAGAGAGAGAGAAATAGCAAAGAGACAGAACATCAACTGGCTGCCTCTTGCACCCCCCCCCCCCACTGGGGATCAGGCCCACAACCTGGGCATGTGCCCTGACCGGGAATCAAACCTGCGACCTTTTGGTGCATGGGTCGGTGGTCTAGGAGAAACGGCGGGTCTCCATCTCAGCTCTCACTTCAGTCTTTCATCACATTCCTCTGTCTCTCGAGTGTAAAATATGAATCGCATGTGTACCAAGGATCGGAACACAAGGCTTTCCCCACTTCCTGTAGCTCTTAAACAACAGATTTCAAGTATCCAAGAGGCAGGTGCTGTCTCAGGCTTCAGCGCACAACATCAGAGACCTTGTTTAATGCACGGGAATGGAGCCGTGAAGGGTTCCTTCTTTGTCATTGACTGTCGTCTCTCCTCTAGTTGGATGTTTTGACCCCTCTCTGGCTTGTGTCACTAAGTTACACATGTTCTTTAATATTATTTATACATAAGAAACAACAACAGCAAAATAAACAAAAATAATGCCACTCTGCTTCACATTGCAATCGTGTCCTTGCGGAGTAATGTCTTACACGAGGTGGCTCCACCTCTGAACGCGTTCACCCTGCAGCAGCTACAGCTTGGGTCCCGCCTCTGCTGCTCCAAGGAAATCAGTTACCCCTGCCCCTCCCTAGGGGCCAACACGAGGGACTCTTCTTACATCTTCACCTGCTTAACCTCCTGCAGCACTGGACCCTGCTCACCACACTTCTTTCTTTACTTTGCTCCTTTTTCGCCATGACGCTGCATGGTGCCGATGGCTGGGTTTCTGCAGGCCCTCCGGGTTCCCTCCACTGAGCTCCCTCCCTCTGCCTGTTCTCCACATGCCTGCCACCTCTCCCGACTCTCTTTGGTGTCTGTTTGGTTTTCTCCCCTGGAAATCTGCCACCAAGTGGCTGTCTCTCACTTTGCTGAAGATGCCGTTCACTGGGTTTCTCGCCATCATCTTGGTCTTTCACACGACAAGGACGAAACTCGCCTTCTGTTCTGTCCTGTGATTGAATTTCTGGTGTCCCAGGATCCTTTCATTTTTCTCCAGCCTTTACTACAATCTGCCTCTGTCTATGCCAATTGGACTCCAATTCGTCTCCTTCTTTCCTGTCACTAGTGGAGGTTTACTGGGGATCACACTTCTGTTTCGCTTTAAACCTTCTCTCTAGCCCTCATCTGGTTCCCGTCTTCCTAGAAAGCACAGATCCAGGGGGACCTTCCTCCTGTCCCTCTCCGTCTGTGATGAATGAAACCCAGACCTCCTAGCCTGGTACTTAAGCTTTCTAAACATTGGTCCCAGACAATTCTCCAACTCTCTCTCTTCACCTCCCGGACACACCCAGCTGCAGCGACATAGACCAGCCTGGTATGACCCTTGACTGGCACAAGGTTTGCTTGACCGCAAACTGCAAGTCTCTCGAGGTCGTGACCCAGGACTCATTTGTTTGTTTTTTTCAACACTTGTAACCAGCTCTGGACCAGATTATAGCAAGTGTTCCAGAAACAATCAATTTTGTTCACACTCTGAGTAAATAAATCGCTGGATTTAGAAGATGATTTGGGACGTGATTTCTTGCTCACTGAAGATTTTTATTTTGTGTTGTTAGGAGTGTTTACTTCCAGAAGAATTTTCTGTATTCCGTTCAATGGAATGGGCAGATTGCAGTATTGGTTGGGGTTTTATCAGATTTTTTGCAACACTTATTATAGGAAGAACATTTGAACGGTTTCTGAAAGAATTTTCCTGCTGTGTCTTCTTTCTTTCCTTTCTTCCCCCATTTTCCTTTGTAAATGATGACAAGACCTAAAATGTTGCTTCGGGGATGTCAGGTGATTGGTCAGAATATAGAAGTAACAAGACAGCCAGGTCATTTTTCTCTCTCTTTCTCCTGGTTCGCTAAGCTTGTTTATTTGTTTTCATTTTTCAAGGAGATTTGCAAAGACATAGTAGCCTATTTCTATATCTCAGATTATTGAATGTTATGCTTTCTGTCACTATAATGAGTTCTGACATTTTGGTACTTCCTTTGGAAACAAAGTCCAGACTTGGCCTTTTGCAAAGGCCTGGAGGTCTTTCCCTGAGGCCCAGGCCTCCCCGGGACTTGCCTTTCCCCCCTCATTTCTGCACTCTGGTCTGACCTGCTGTTTCTTCTGGATTAATCCAGCTATGATCAGTGAATCGGGGCTAAATGTGGATCTCGATCTTATCTGACCAAATTGCGGGCATTTCCGAACACGTGGCTTTCTCAAGAGAATGAGAATTACCTTCGCTAATGCGAGGCTTATTTAAAGTACAAGGAAAGTCAGATGAATTCCTATTTCTCTAACATCAATTTTTCATCCTGTGTTGGCATACCTTTAGAAGCTCTGTCTTTGTCGGGAACCAAAATTTAATTCACTAAAAAATTCAATGAATCTTTCATTAAGCTAAGAGCGGCTAAGAGCAATTCAAGGCTATCTGCCCAGTAGGCGTTCAATTCTTATTAATTAAAGTGATGAGCAAAGTGTACTGATTCTCATTGACATTGTCTCAAGAATATGGCTCTTTGGTTCACTTTTACTCTGGTGTTAATGCTGAAGGTTTCCTTGAATTCTGCCCTTCTATTATCTAAGCAAAAACTTTGTATGAGGTCCCTTATATATAACGCTGGAAAAATATTACTTTCTGATGACAGATACATCAAAATCTCTGGCTACTAATTTAAGTTATGTATTTTTTTTTTAGCACTTTTCAATTCCAAGGAGATTTACAAGGATTAATTAGTTAATCTTTCGATCTTCAGTAAGTTGCATTAACCCCAATTTATAGAGGCTAAGAGGAAATGCCTTGGACTTTCTCAGTGCATCAGGGTCTGTCCCAGGATCTAGAGACCTCCCCTAGGCCCTGTTTCCGGCCGCGGGTGAGTTTTCGCGGATGTACTCAGAAGGTGTGGCTGTTGCTGTCTCAGGGAGCTGGGATCTTGATGGAGGGAATTTTCTTGTAGGAAGAAGAGCACCCTGAGTCCTACTGGATCCTGGTGTGGGTTCGCTCCCTGATCAAACCCACAATTTGGCCCGTCTCATCTGTCATTTTTACAGATAAGAAAAACAACACTTGAAAAGGTTAATGGAAATATTTACTCTGCTAACCCCATGGGCTGTTTTGAGGACCAAAGTTTAGCTCACGGTATAGCTAAATGTACTTCGTATGCTATCCATTGCTATTTAGCTATTCCTTGCATTATGATTATTTTATATATAGTTGTATACAGTTCTTGTATATAATTTGATATATATATATTTTTGTACTGTACTTTAGAATAGAGTTCAGGAAGGGAAGGTCCTTCTCAGATTCTATCCAAAAGGATTTTGTTATCGAATACCAGAAATAATTTTACTACAAAATATATTCTGTTCTAAGAGAAGACCCTTACACCAAATTATAGTAAAGCACAAAGCTTGAAGATCAAAGATAAAGTTAAATAATCACTGTTTCTGCCTTCTATAAACCTTCTGCCAGAATATAGATACACGAGAAAAAGATTAAAAAAAAAAAAAAAAAAGAGATACTCGTGCTGATTAACACAGAAACCATGTGTCTTTGAGTACTTAGGTGGAATGAAGTCATTTGAGCATCTGATAGACTGGGACAGGGTGCCTAAGGTGGAATTAGAAGTATTTGAGTAGTAAGGTAGTAGCCGAAGAACCTGCATTCAGACTAAGTTTCCCCTGAGATGTTTTCTCTTCTTACTCTGCCAGATATAACCCCTTGGGGTTAGACTCAAGGAATAGCCGTAGAGAAGAGTTTTGGAGTTGCTGTCTATGAAATAGCTGCTCATTGGTAACATTCTCCATTATGCCAATAAAACGTGTGCATCCATTTCCCTTATGACCTAGAGATAGTAAATGTATATGCAAGATGTGTGTGTATGTATATGCATAGTGTCTCTGTGTGTTTTGTGTGTATTTGACTTCGAATACCACTTTACCTTACCCCTATTCCTTGAACTGAGTTCAGTAAATTAATTGCCCCTTGGCTACTGGGGAACCCTACAGGCTTGGGGAGGGGTGGTGCTCTGAGAGTGGGCTATGGGAGGTTCTCAGAGAACTTGCATTAGTATCAGCTTCACTTTGCAGAATTTCTGGTTGCTGGTTTCTCCTAATGAGGCTCCTCTCTGTCTTAGATTCCTGGTCTATGCCTGCCTTGAACTCTGAGGTTCCTCAGCTCTTGCTACTGTAACTCCTGACTTCCTGCTTCTTCCAACCTCTGGTAACTGCTTACTTCTCATTATTCTTTCATGTGCATGCTCTCTGAACTACTGTGCTTTCTTTTTGTTTATCTAGCTTGCTTACAATTGCAAAGTAATGCATATTTTTCCTATCTTTCTAGACATATACTTTTAAAAATAAAAATGGAATTGCATTATATATCTGTGTGTGTGTGTGTGTGTGTGTGTGTGTGTGTGTGTGTGTGTGTAGAGAGAGAGAGAGAGAGATTCTTGAGGGAGGAGAGAGATAGATGTAGATGTACTATATACACACTTGTTGGTTTGGTGCTTTTTTTCAATGAATGAAGAAACCATAACATTTGCAGGTGGGTTAGATGAGTTTTTCTTTTTCCTTTCTTTTAATCTTCCACCCAATGATTTTTTTAATTGATTTTGGAAAGCAGAAAGGGGGAGGGAAAGAGAGATATTGATATGAGAGAGAAACTTATATCAGTTGCCTCCCTTATGCGCCCCAACTGACGATTGAACCTACAACCTAGGTATGTGCTCTGACCAGGAATCAAAGCCCCAACTTTTTGGTGTATGGGATGATGCTCCAACCAACTGAGCCACCGGCCAGAGCTAGATGAGTTTTTCTGAGTTGACCATTTATTACAGTGGTAATACATTCATTTGTTCTTATGCTTCTAGATTCAATTGATCTGTCAACATAAACCATTTCCTTGTGGAATCTGCAAGGTTATTGAACTAAATCCTGAATATATGGAGCATCTTGCTGAAATATTGACATCCATTTTATGTAAAGTCACAACATTCACTAGTATTAGAGAACTGTTGATCCCCAGTGTCACAGAAACTAGGCCTATTTGGTGGCTGACTCATTCATTTATACCTCAGACTTTTACTGTGTCCTACTATGTGCCAGACACCAGGAACATAAGAGTGACCAGGACAAGATCTGTGCCTGAGCTCACAGTGTTGGGGGAGTGATTGACAAGTAAGCCTATGCTAGTGAACACACTGAATGAGAGGAAAGAGGATTTGGGGGAAACACTGTGCTTCTAACTTCTGAATTTGGCCTTGAAAAATGAGCTTACAGAGAAAGACAAATACCATATGCTCTCACTTATTTGTGGAATGTCATGAACATAACAGTCTGAGGAATAGGGTAGACCTAGAAACATGGAAGTAGGGTACAGATTGACAACCCTCAGAAGAGGGTGTGGTGGGGAGAGGGAAGAGATAAACCACAGAACTTATATGCATGTACAGCATGTACGCATAACCAATGGACGTGGGCAACAAAGCCGGGGACGGGGCAGGGGGGATGGGGAGAAGGGTGTCAATGGGGTAGAAAAGGAGAAACACCTGTAACAAAAATAAAATACAATAAATAAAAATTAAAAAAAAAATGAGCTTGCTTCTGCCAGAAGAATAAAGGAAAGGACACTTAGAGAACAGTCCAGGAATTGCTGGGAGGCAAAGGGCCAAGGCATGAAAGGACACGGTGAGTTTGTGGGTGAGCGGTGTAGCAAGGAGTGAAGACTGTCACAGGACGCCAGAGAGCAGGGTGCTGGCTGGGGTCTAAAGACTCCGGTGTGCCATGCTGAGGAACTAACACTTTGTCTTAAATATAAAGCCTGACACAGCGGAGGAACAAGATCAGCGTTTCAGGAAAGTGTTAGTGGTCGTCAGCCTTGAGTAGGCAGAGATGCCACTGAATGTGGCAGACCTCAGCAGCGGCAGTGCAATGGAGAAAACAGGAACGCGTAGAGGTTTATTTGTACGATGGGATCAATAAGAATCGGTGACCAGTTTGAAAGGCGTGAGGCCAAGGGAGGGAGAGGAATGAGAGGGACCATCAAAATCATTTATAGCTAAGCCCTGGCCGGTTTGGCTCAGCGGTTAGAGCGTCGGCCTGCGGTCCTGAGAGACCCGGGTTCGGTTCCCGCTAAGGGCACGTACCTCGGTTGCAGTTTGTCCCCGGCCCTGGTCGGTTGTGCGGGTGGCAGCCACTCGATGTGTCCCTTTCACATCGATGTTTCTCTCTCTCTCTGTTCCTCTCCCCCTCCCCTACCTGAACAAAAAGTGGAAAAATGTCCTCGAGTGAGGATGAAAAAAAAAAGAAAAAAAAAAAAATCATTTATAGCTAAAACCATGACTCTTGAACATTATTTGATATAGATGTAAGATCCCTTCACTACCTCAGCACTATTGATATTTTCTCAGCATGGGCACATAGATGTCTGAGAGGGAGCGGGAAAATACGTTGAACTGTAGAATGCATTAGGATGAGCTCCTAAATAGAGGGTGTGCCCACTAAGGAGAATGGAGACTAGAGGAAAAAGGATGTGCTTAATTTCAGTTTGGGTCGTGGTGACTTAGGCTGAGGACTGTCCAGGCAGAGATGTCTAGTTAGGTGAATATATGGGACTAGGCATCTAGCTTTGTTGAGCCACCTGCATGCTAGACAGAACTGTAGAGAGTCTAGATCGCCCAGGAAAATACACGTAGTGCAAGGGGAATATAGATCTAGGAGAATGCGTGTGTATATATCCTCATGACAAACACCAATATTCCAGACGGAGGTGGAACACTGGAATGTAAGCACGTTGGAGCAGAGAGGTTTGTTTTGCTGATTGATATGTTCCAAGCACTCCATAAATACTTTTTTTCTAAGTAAAATTAATTTATTTTCCAATTACAGTTGACATACACCATATATCAGTTTCAGGTGTGCAACATAGTGATTATGAGGTGATCCCCCCGATAAGTGCAGTACCCATCTGAAACACTTAAACACATGTAGGTGGGGGTTGGGAGAGATAAACCATCCAAGGAGCTTTAAAAAGAATCGTCAGAGATGGAGGAAGAGGACAGGCGTTGAGTGGATTGTCAAAGTCCGGGAGCAAGAGAGAGAAGATTGTCAAGGAAGAGGTTGATGGAGAGTCCCCAGTGCTCCAAAGCTACTGAGAGGTGGAGGTGGGGGAGGACTGAAATGTGCAGACCTTCAAGAGGGTACAGGGTCGGAGAGTTAGGTGTCAGCAAGTTGAGGGACACAAGGGAAGGAAACAGCAAGGAGAGCACCTGGTGGCTGTCTGGGTCAAGAATTGGAAACGAGCTTTATTTGGATTATGGGAAGTAGTCTAGTTACTGATTCACACGACCAAATCCATCAGACTCTGCTCTGATCTATGATCGTGACAGTGGTTCAGGACATGTCCAGCATCATTTGTGTCACCTGGGAACCCATTAGAAGGTCGAACTCCCAAGCTTTACCCAGGCACACTGAATCAGAAACTTCAGCAGTGTGTGTTTTAACGAGGCCTCTGGGTGATTTAGACATATTCTGAAGTTTGAAAGCCCCTGGCCTGTGACACAATTTTGAGAACAGTTAGCACAGTTGAGCTCAGAGGTGTGAGCTTCTGAGGGTCCCAAAGCTAGGAGCCCAGATTTTCAGACCAGAGAGCAGGAACGCAGAGCCTTCCCTCGTGCCTGCACGGTAGTGGGGGCTTGGCTTTCGCCTGTGTAGATGGGACGATGAGCTGGGCGTCCTTGTTCCTCTAGAGTCTCAGATTTCTTGTTGGGACATGAAGCATTACCCAAGGACATGCTCTGCTTCAGTAGAATGTGATTTTTCCACTCTTATTCAGGCCTACAATTCCCTAGTTTTATTTTTCTCATAGTATCATATCCTCCTCATGCTATCTGACATTTTTATCGTTGGTGTGTCACAGCAGGTAACTTGAAAAAGCTCGGGACACTGGCAGATGTTTCCCCTGATACCACTGCCGGTTTATCAAAACATTTGTTGTTGTTTTTGTCCCACCAGGTCTGTGAACTGGATATTATCTTTAATTTTGAAAAGGCTTATTTTATCCTGGATGAATTTATAATAGGTGGAGAAATTCAGGAAACATCCAAGAAATCTGCTGTCAAAGCCATTGAAGATTCTGATATGTTACAGGAGGTCAGTACTCAATTTCTCATGTGATGGGAAAAGCTGCTGCTGCTGCTGCTGACGATACTGGTGATTGTGGTGGTGGTGGTGGTGGTAGTGGTGGTGATGATGGGGTGATGGTGGTGGTAATTGTGGTCATGATATGGTCATGTTGGTGCTGATGGTGGTGGTGGTGGTGGTGATGGACACAATGTGGTCATGGTGGTGGTGATGGTGGACATGATGTGGTCATGGTGAAGATGATGGTGGTGATGGTAGTGGTGGTAATAGTGGTGGTGGTGGTGGTGATAGTGATGGTGGTCATGATGTGGTTGTGGTGAAGGTGATGGTGGTGGTGGTGGTGGTGGTGGTCATGATGTGATTGTGGTGGTGGTGATGATGGTGGTGATGATGGTGGTGATGATGGTGGTGTTGGTGGTGGCAACAGTGGTAATTATATATTAGCTGATGCTTATTAAGTGTTTATTCTGCTGGGTACAGTTTCCAAGCAACTTACATGTATTTATTGAATTATCACAGCAACTCTAAGAGGTAGGTAGTGTGGTTACCCTCATTTTAAAGATGCACAAACTGAGGCACAGAGAGGGTAAATGACCTGCTGAACGTCACACAGCTAGTAAGTGTGGAATAGAGATTTGCAGCGAGGCAATTGGGCTTCAGAGTCTTTGCTCTTCACGTTTGAGCTTTTTAGCGAGGATACCTCGCTACCAAAAAGTATCAGATACTTGGTGATATTCTTTCAAGAATGATTTTATGAAGGGTATAAAAAACCTTCCGTTAAAATATCTGTGCTGCCCCGGGAAAGGCGAACAGCGGCACATCGTTATTTTACTTGCCAGGGCCATTAGAGCTTTATTATCGGAGATGGCATTAATCATTTTAATTAAAATTTCCCCCAGCTCCTCAGGAGGCTGTGTGTGCTCCGATTTGCATAAATTGGGAACACTGTGGCTTGCTTGCCAAGGGTAAATGGCCCTGAAGCGTCCATTGTCTGCGCTCCTGACCTGTGATAATCATATATAATAGAGAGGGGCTTTCCTTTTAGTTGTAGTCCAAGTGGCATTGTACCTAGTAAAGGAACTTCCCTACATTAGTCCCTTCCTTTTTCACAGTTTCTCACTGTGAGAAACAGCCCTTCGCCCCACTGACCTTTGCCCTCCTAAATGAGATGGTCCAGCTCAGCTCTGCCACCTCTAGATACTTCTTCCCACAGCATCCTTGGGTCTTGCTGTCTTTCTATTTTCATAACAGCAGGTCAGGAGATTCCAGAGTGTTATAAAGTATCTTTGAAAATGTGGCATTAAAGCCCTCTTCCTGCTGTTTGGAAGTAACAGACTAAGTTAATAAAACAACATGAAGCGTGATTTCCCAGCAACTGTGTTTGCGTGTCTTTGAGCTGATTACTTGTTCCTGCCCATCTGGGGGACCAGTCTTCATACACAGAGAAGACATTTGTCTGTGTGGGTGTCCCACAGCCTGTGCCTGTGCCTGTTAGGAGGCTGATGCATTTATCACTGGAGGTGTTGTCACCTCAAAAAGTGCACATAAACTCTCTGATGTTTACTCGACTTTTCGCAAATGCCACAGGAAGGGAATTTTACAAGGTACTTGAGAAATCAAGTTCTTAAAACATGCCAGCAGGTTGTTTATAATTCTGTCCCTAGGGCCCTTACTGTGGAATCTCCTATAGGAGAAACAGACTTTAAACAGAAGCTTTTGCTGGCCTAGGCCCCTCTGAGGCTGCAGGCGCATGTGGTCAAATTCACAAACTAACTGCCAAGCAGGAGTAGCCAGACAATAAATATAAGATGTTATAGAGGTGTGTCAGGCGCATAATGATTAAAAACCATACGCTCTTGCTCTGGATTTTGCAATATTTGTCATCTTTTAAAAATCCCTCCTCTACTGTCATTTTTTCCTCATTGTACATAAACTTTATGCCCACTTTTGTATGTGTAACTTTGTATTCTTTTTTAAGTGGCATAAGCATTGGATGCCACAAAACAGGCACAGGCTCCTGGCCAGTGCGATGCCCTTGCTAAGTTTAAAGAATTGGATGGCATCTGTAAAAGGAAGTACAGGGAGAGGTCTTGGGCTGTGGGCTCTTCTTGGCCAGTGCTCATCTAGGAGGTGTAAGAGCTTGGCAGGGAGGTGTGGGTGACTGACCACAGTATTTTCAGCAGAGGAACACCGGCATTCTAGACAGAGCTGGTGGAAACCAGGTAGAACACCTGACTTGTAACCTATATTCTCTGAATAATCTGGTTGGCCTTGGTCTCGGTCTGTTTGGCCCATGCTGGTTGATTGTCCTCCGGGCAGGTGAATCACGTCCCCTGGGGTTCAGGTTTAAGAATGCATTCAGCATCACAGATCGAGCTGTCAGGGGCAGAGGTGTTACCTACGGCTCCCCACTTGGTCTCTCTTCTTAATTCCACCCAGACACCACTGGGCTACACACAGAGATCTTACAGGAAAGAGTGCACAAGGCAAGTCCATCCGTGGTACATGGTAAAGGACTTGCAACATCACTGTAACTTTGAACTCTGCCTGTACCTGTGAGCCCACTCATCCATTACAAAAAGTGCCGGACAACCCTGGCAGGTTGGCTCAGCGGTTAGAGCGTTGGCCTGCGGTCTGGAGAGACCTGGGTTCGGTTCCCGTTAATGTACCTTGGTTGCTGTTTGTCCCCGGCCCTGGTTGGGTCATGTGGGTGGCAGCCACTCGATGTGTCCCTTTCACGTCGATGTTTCTCTCTCTGTCTCTTCCTCCCACTCTGTCTGAACAAACAATGAAAAAATGTCCTCGGGTGAGGATAAAAAAAAAAAGTGCTGGACAGTGATAACATTTTAGTGAGAGACAAATTATCTTATAATCTTATACCACAAATGAAGAAAAAAATTGAATATTAGTTTTTATCTTAAACCTTTAAAATATTTACATTTATATTATATAAAAACACATACATGTTATAATAGACATATTATAGATAATATAATATATTGTATTTATATACTAAAGATAGACATCAAAATAGTTATGTTATTTAGGGGTTCAAGATGTCACTGATAATATATATCACATACACACATACATGTAAAATATATATTTGTGTATGTGTGTGTAATAAACATTTTACTTAGAAACTTTGGTTTACCTACAAATAGAAAAAAAGTGCTGGAAAAAATTCAGGGCCTTGTGTCATGTTAGCAAACTCTGTGATCGTTAAGGAAGATGAAGAAACGATTTGTATACTTTGGAGGAAATCCTCTTCAAAACATGTGGCAGAAAGTCTTAAGACTTATGGTTGTTTATTCATTACGTCTTGACAATCTGTGTAAGAAAGATGTCCTGTGCAGTGTCTGTAGCACTAAAGATGTTATACAAATAGAATCTGGATTTCTCACACACATGCCTGGCAGTAGTCACCGTGATCAGTTCCGCACACACACTTATCTGAAGTCAACAGTGACGTCCTACAGCTGTCGCTTTAGCATTGCTCTTAGCAGGCATGCATTGTATGGCCCAGCTCTGCTTCTCCTCGGTTGAACATTAGCGGTTTGAGCCATATGGATGTTTATACAAATTACAGTCAAACCTTGAACCACATTTTTTATTAGAAAACAGAGATTTATGTCCACACATACTTTTCTATTTCTTTTTAATACTTAATTTATGAATTTTTTAAATTACAGATGTCCTTCCTTTTCTACCATTTGATACCCTCTTCCCCACTCCCACCCTCCCCACCTTCACTGTACTATTGTCTGTGTCCATTGATTGTGCATATATGCATATAAGTTCTTTGGTTTATCTCCTCCCACCCCCCTTTCCTCTGTCTGTCCCCTACTGCCATATCTCTGGATCTATTTTGTTCATCAGCTTATTTTGTTCATTACATTCCACAAATAAGTGGGTTCATGTGATATTTGTCTTTCTCTGTTTGGCTTATTTTGCTTAGCATAATACTCTCCAGGTCCCTACACGTCATCTCAAAAGATAAGAGATCTCTCTTTCTTACAGCTGCATAGTACTCCATTGTGTACATGTACCACAGCTTTTTTATCTGTTCATCTACTGATGGGTACTTGGTCTGTTTCCAGATCTTATCTATTGTAAATAGTGCTGCTATGAACATGGGGGTATTCTTTCTGATTGGTGTTTCAGGCTTCTTAGGGTATCTTCCTAGAAGTGGGATCACTAGGTCAAATGGCAGATGAATTTTTAACATTTTTGAGGTAACACCATATTGTTTTCCATAGTGGCTGCACCAGTCTGCATTCCCACCAGGAGTGTACTAGAGTCCCCTTTTCTCCACACCCTCGCCAACACCTGTTGTTTGATGATTTGTTGATGGCGGCCATTCTGACAGGTGTGAGGTGATACCTCATAGCCGTTTTAATTTGCATCTCTCTGACGATTAGTGACATTGAACGTTTTTTTCTATGTCTCTTGACTGTTTATATGTCCTGTTTGGAGAAGTGTCACACATACTTTTCAAAACGACGTGTCAGTAATGGCAAAGGAATAAGTAAAAGCATGAAAAAGATTTCACAGTCTGCTAAAGGATGTGGCTTAAGGGAAAACTGTTCTAATTCTTGTTCTGTTTCAGACACTGGAAGAATACATGAACAAGCCTACGTTTTAACCGTGCGTGCTCTCGAAGACTGAGTGCCGTGTGTTGGGCGTGTGGCCGGAAGCGATGCCTTGCCTCCGGCTAGTGGGTGCAGCCTCCGGCACCATGCCAAAAAGAACTGAAAAGGGATTGTTTTGTTAACTAGCAAAATTTAAAGTTGTTTAACATAATATATTTATCATTATTACATATCTGTATTATATTGTATATGATTACTTATTGTAGCTCTGGCTGTTCACATAACCACTTCATAACTCAGTAGATTGAACATCTGTTGACAATGTTATTAACCCCATGTACTATCTTAACCTAATTTAAATATATTTGTTGTAGTACTTATTATTATTATTATTTTTTTTGCTGCATTTGGTCCCCTACTGATAGGCTGAAAACTATATTGTAATAATCCATGATTCAAAATTTAAAGTAGCAACACTTTTGCTAAATGTTTAGCTTTTAAAATTGTATGATAGAGAATTCAAAGTTATGTTAATAGCTCAGAGTTTATACATAATGCTAGACATTTTAAATATACTTAATAATGTAATTTCATTCCAGATACAATGTATCTGATTTTAATGTCCTGAATTTATTTATTTTTCAGGGTTGGAATGAAGGAAAGTAACCAAAGCTAGTATGTGAGTTGTGTTTTTGAGGCTTTGGAAGCTGCTGTCTTAGCTGAGGTTTTAATTTTACCTTTTCATTGAATATTAGGGACAGCACAGTAAGGCCATGTTTCCTACAAACTCTATACGTTGAGTAAGGTTTTTAGACATCTGGAGCTCAAGTTTGTGTCTATGACGTCCCTTATTATAAAAATAGAATAATTGAGATTAGTAATAATAGCAATAATTATTATTACTACTACTCTTTTAATAGTCTTTAATGTTCCAAACACTCTTAGTTGCTTGGAAGATTTTGTTTCAAGTATGTTTTAATGTATTTCTAAGATATTTGAAGACTGACTGTTCATTAGGCTTACTTAGAACATTTCATAGAGGGTGGGGCAAAAGTAGGCTTGCAGTCGTTTGTATGGAAAATGATACCATTATTAATAAATAATAATGCAAGAATAAACTCAGTTTTTTGTGCTCATACCTACTCTTGCCCCACCTTGCATGATTGCTACATGGTAGATGCCCTTTCTCCTTTTTTTGTTCCTCACTCCCCAAGAAAATATTTGCTGCTGACATTATGATTGTGAATCTGTGACATCCGTACTTCCTGGAATGAAAGTTCTATGTAACCAGGTAGTGAATGTGATCAGACACTGCATAGCAGTATCTTGTAATGTTTCATCTCAGTACCCCACTTTTGATGTCTTACCTGTACATTTTCAATGTTAGTGTGAGGTCTGGAATCGTTCTAAGAGTGGGCTTGCTATTGGACCCTCTCCCATAGGGTAGACCTTTGGAGAACTCATCAATTTATCTTAACAGAGATATTTAGGGAACAATGTCAAGGCACCAGCAGAACAGAAGGAAAAATTGACCTGTTCCTCAATACAATCATGAGTAAATGGAAATAGGTTAGTATATGAAGTAACTACTGGGCTTTCAATAGCTAACATTTCTCCAGTTAATCATGTAGTTATGATTATGGCATCAGATTGAGGTTTAACGACCACTTTTGATCACTCTGTTCACGTAAGGTCTTCAATTTGTGGTTTAGCTTATTGTTGTTTTCGTATGGTGGAACTCTATTTTTAAAAACAGTTTTGGAAAGATGGACTTCGAACCTCATGTCCTTCGTATTCTGGGGAATTCCATACTAGACACTGTCTAGCTACAGACGGGGCTCCTCAGGTTCATGTCAGCATCACTCGTAGAAAATGAATATAACAATATGGTATACTGGGGTACACTTGAGGGATTTGGGGGACATCTTACCTGGGCCTTGGTGAAAGTAATCATTATGTTTTCTTTATACTATATAATTATACTAAAACTACCAAGTGAAAGAAAAGAGAATAAATATTAAATTTTATAAAACTTTCAAATAAAATGTTTTTAAATTTTTAAGTGAGGAACTTGAGTGTGTTTTCATAAATACGTTTTTAAAAACATCAGATTTTATGCTTAAAATTGCTACCCATAATTCCTGATAAAATCCCTTTAATATGACCTCTGCCTTTCCTTGGTGCTTATCACCCAAGAGAAACTCCACAGGTAGGTGACAGGAAGGGTGTGCATTGCGCTGTTCCTGTTGACTTCCTTCGCACTGGTCCCCCACATTTTGATAATCTAATCTCTTTACCCACAGTTAATGATGTGATCATTCTTTTTCTTTTGTTAACTTATGTAAAGTTGGAATTTATTTTGATAAAGCAAATGAACTTTTAATTTATTCTTTTTTTTTTATATCAAATTTCCTAAAATAATGACAAAACTTTTCTTCAAACATATGCAGATGTTCTTCTGAACCTAATAATTCTTCTTTAGGATTTATATTATAATTCCTATGAAGCATGGCCAGTATGGCTCGGTGGACTGAGTGTTGTCCCATGGACTGAGAGGTCCCAGTTCAACTCCTGGTCAGGGCACATGCCTGGGTTGTGGGCTCGATCCCCTGTAGGGGGTGTGCAGGAGACAGCTTATTGATGTTTCTCTTTCATATGAATGTTGCTTTCTCTCTCTCTCTCTCTAAAAAAAATAAAAATCAATAAAAACATATTTTAAAAAAAGTTTTATAATTCCTATGAAACATCACTGGTGAACTGTGCTTAACTTTACTTTTTAGGAAATGTTAGTACATTTTTTCACGTGGTCTCCACAATTTTGGATTAAGTTCAGTCAGATACCCTGGAATGTAAGTAAAGCAAGCCAATGACTATCTATTAAAAACTTACAAAAAGAGGATCGTTAAATTTTTTCTCAATTCTTATTTAAATATGGACCAAATTGACAAAACTCTACCCATATACAATGTACTTTGGTATTAAACAATGATAGTCTATTTGTCAGGAAAAGCAAAAAACAGAACGGACTGTAACAGTAAGGCTGTGTTGGATTCATCTTTTGACAGTACTACTGTTATCAGTGGAAGTGGAGTTCTTGGGGTGCTGTGAGGAAAAGAATTTTCTGAGGCCCCCACAGAAGGATGGGGTTTCATGGAAAACTTTATTGATGATGTACTATTAAGGGGGTTCCTCTCCAATGTCCCATCTCTGTCCATCTCACCATAGGAAAAGTCCAATCTTGTCTTCAGCAGGGCCAGAGTCAAGGCCACTGCCCAGAATTTCTGTTCCATGTGAAGGTCCAGTCCAGTCCAGCCACAGTGTGTGGAGCCAGGACAGTGATGGCCATGTGGCGGCAAAGACACAGCTGTGGAAAGAGAACAGGGGAGCACACAGGCAAGTGTGGGCCATGGAGTAAGAGAGAGCAAGTGGACAATAGCACAAAACCTCCTTTGTCTGGGGATTTTAACAAGGAAATTTCTTCAGACTGACCAATCAACTCTTCAAGATTTCTCACACTTCCGGTGGAGTCCACCCCCTGGCCAGTCCACTATTCCCCAAGCTAGACTGACAGGCCAGTCTCTGCCTTCCCTACGTCACCTGGACTTAACTGTGCATGGGCCCATCTCCCCCTTTGTTCAGTCCCTTCCCCCAGTGATCTGCAGGGAATGGCCCCGTGGTTCCTTGGGGAGTGAGAATCTGTAGCTTCATGGTGAAGCTGCCCAGATGACCAGGCCTATAATGTCTGGCCTTTCCTTTGCTCTCTTTTCTTTTATGATATTAACTAGCTAATTACGATGATAACATTACTTAATATGAAATTTAGGTCTACAGATGAACTTTTACCTGTGCTAAATTCTTTTTGAATAAACTCAGGTATTAACTAAATCTCAGGGATTTCTCCTTGCATTTGTGCTATCAGTACTAACTGATGTAGTGTTTCCATCATAACTTAATTGTTTCAGAGTGTTAATTTACTAAGTTTTAACTAGTTTGTTTTGCTACTTTACAGAGTAAGTAATATTCTAAGCATTTCTCCTTGGCATAGTCTTTAACTAACAAGGGTAGATTAATATGAAATGATATATGTGTAATTTAACTATCTTCTAGATTAAAATTATTTTCATGGCATTGACATGTGCCCTATCCGTTTAATAATAGTATTATCCAAAAGTGGCACTTTTTCTCTTTCCTTTGGAAAGGTTGAGAATGTCTGTGGAGTCTGGTAAAATGGGCAATTCTGCAACTGTGTGACTTACGTGGGCCTTTGCTGGGGTTGGTAGGACCTTAGGCGCTACCTCTATTAGGTGTATGAGCTACACGCGATATTGTCATATAACTTACATGAGAACTTTGCTTCATATTTTGTACTTGCAGATGTTTAAAATGTTCATGAATCCTGTGTGTAAAGTGGATGTTTAGTAGAAAGATGTCAGCATCATTTAATTGATAACATTTTGAAGTAAATAAAACATTTAGGCTGAAGAAAAGGAAAAGTTACGAGAACACTGGGTTCCCAGTGTGAGATAGCCCCCCCTCTGCTTCAGTGGGGACTTAAGCTGCAAACACATTTTTTTTTTTTTTGGAGATGAGGAAGACTTTTGAATTGTGAAGCCTCCAGTTCAATAAAATGGTGGAAACATATCTATTAAATTAGCTAAATGCAAAAACTAGTCACAAAATTAATTTTTTTTTACAGATTATTAGTCCCTGTTATACAACACTAAAAAAAAAAGTGTGTGTGTGTGTGTATATATATATATATATTCTCCCCTCTGAAACACGTAAGAAATTCCACCTCCAAAATTAAACAACACAAACTTGGTAATTTTATTATGGTGGAAACATATCTGTAAATTTTAAGACTACATAAATGTGAAGAATAAAGAATTAATGTGGTTGTAGGTGTTTGTGGTTAGAAAATTGTTTCAAAGATAATTTGGGTCAATTGAAAATGATAGACTGTTACAAAAATAATAAAACATCAAGTATAATAAAGAATAATTATAAAAATTAATGCAGTCAAAATTGAAAGTACTAAAATACATATTGATTTTTATTTACTAAAATAAACTTTTAAAAACTCAAAATATAAAATATCACATGATCTCACTTATTTGTGGAATATAATGAACAAAGCAAGCTGATGAACAAAATAGACCCAGAGACATGGAAGCATGGAACAGACTGACGAACCTCAGGGGGGGTGGATGAGATGAACCAAAGAACTTATATGCATATATGCATAACCAATGGACACAGACAGTAATACTCTGAAGGGGAGGGTTTGGGAGAGGGGAGGAGGGTGTCAAAGGGGAAAAAAGAAGAAACATCTGTAACAAAAATAAA